TTCACCAGCGGTGGTTGAAAAACCAGACAAAGGAATACCTTTGCCCCGCTCGTGCTGCTCGCCGCGCATATTTCGAGAGCAAGTAGGGTCTTTCCTGTCCGATACAGCACCTTCAAAAAAGGCAACGGGGGATTTTGCTTCAAGTTCGTCCAGTCTAGCCGGAATGTTCTTCAGTAAGTCGCAGGCAACCGGCGTTTCGCTTATGCCAATCGATATACACACTTTTCGCGACTACCATTCGAAATCCGGTCTCAGGAACCCTTCAGAATCTGCTTCCGACTTCGTCGGAGTCGATCTTCTTTTCTTTCGGTTGGATTCACGTAACCGTCGGAGTGCACTCGCATGATGACCTTAGAAATCGGCGTTTCTTCAAGTCAATCTAAATTCAATGACGTCCGAAGTTTTCGAACTCCGTTGTGCCAGCGGGGGGACAGGTTACGTATCTGGGAAAATACCTGCACACCCAATGATTGGACATTGCGCTGGAGGTGCCATTCCCAAAGTGGCGAATCCGCGGGAATTACCGATTCACGCAGAGAGGGGAAGGAACAATGCATCCCTTAGCTTGCAGAAGAACCGGGCTTTTCTTCAGCCTCTCGTGTTTCCATGTCGGTCCATCGTTTCGCCCAGATACCACCTTGGCAGACCACGCGACCCCTCCCTTTACTTCAAGCAGAAATGCCTTCCGAGGGCACAATCACGGACGACATCAATTCGCCGTATGGCCCGGCTCGCCTTCGCGCTAAGCCCAGTAGTGGAAGTACGTCAAATCCAAATCTTATGCGGGGATAGCTCTCAAGCAGGCGCCGAATACGAGTCGACGCCGGCGCTTGCTGATAACCTTCGTTACTCTATCTGGGTGGGGATCATCTTCGCCATGAGTGAGACCTCTTTCTTAGAATGCCCGTCGTGCATCAACGACAAGAGGCGATTCCACCTGATTCGATGGGATATTGCTCTTTTGTTGAATCGGCTATGTCAACTTGGACGATTCAAAGCGGTACCGTAATCAAGAGAGAATGCAGCAGCACGGACTGGTTGCCCCAATGATTCAATCTCCCATCGAGTTACACTAAGAATGAGATCTGTCAACTGGTTTCAGCCCTAATGTGTGCCCGCGTATCTCAGTAATGGCATTTCGCTACCTCTTCTTGGATGCGAAAGTTCGAAATGCCGCCGCTGTCGCGAGAAATTAAATCATCAATGAAGTCTCCAGGCCCTATGCGATCGGGATGTGCCACAAAGCCACGCTCTGCAAAATCGTTGGCGTTGTACGATTTGAGACCGAACATCGCCAAAAAGTGCTGAACATCGGTTGGAACTGGAGCCAAGGCCTGCAACAGCAAGGACTTCCATCGTTCAGCGATTGTGCTCGGATTATCTCATACGTCTCGATCAGAAGAATGTCCATCCGCAATAAGCTGTTAAACGTCTCTTGGTAAAAAGACGCGAACTGAACAGCCACATAGTTACCGGAGGGAGAGCTGCGGACGCGGTAACGTTTTCGAGTTTGGCACCGTTAGTATTCGTTTGTCCACTAACCCATCAGTTCTGGGAGTTCGGCCCACTCCGTCATAAATGCATAGCACATGCCCTATAAAGTGGACCATTGTGCTGCACGGCTTGTTTAACCCCGCTCGCCACCGGGTGGGGGACCGCTTTGCGGCGTTCGAGACACGTTTTTCAAATTCGAAGAAATCGGTTCCTTCAATGTCGGGTTCACTAATGGGAGGCTGGGCTCGTTACCGTCTCAATACGGTTAGAAATTGACGTCCAATTCCCAGAATGGTAGAGGCGGGTTGGAAGGGTTCGACTTCTTGCGATTTGAGCGCATTGCGTGCGCGCTCCACTTGCTTGGTGAAGACAAGAACCCAACTTGCGCTCGAAAGGATAGGCAAAGAACACGAATGTCCCTGTACTGCCATTGTTGTCAAGCGGGAAAAAACGCGTCTATTGGGCCAAGTTGGAACGACGCGATTTGCCCGGCGTATGTCTGTGTCGATTCTGAATGCCGGTTATCGGTAATACTGCGGAACATTGAAACCGCGGTTTTTTAACAGTTTGGCCTAAGTTGCCTTCGGCAGTTCGCGGCAGACCAGTGCAGTGGCCACGGACCATTGCCCTTATTTCCGGTTGGTACGAAGGTATTGGTCAAGCAGTGCTTGGGCCTTTTATTTCCCGAAACGAATTGCTCTGTTTGTAAATAATATCTTCCAAAATTCGTGATTCGCCATCGCAAACTTGAAGTTTTTATTAACTGCAGGCTCCAGCCATCTGCATTGTTGTCGGGCCATCTTCTCAAGGACAGACCTCAGATTGGTAATTATAGTTTCTTCCACCAACACCGAAGCAGCATTCGCTGGCACTCACAGCTTATTCCATATAGCCCAAAACAGTATTTGTCACTTCATGCACTTCTTCGCTAATCTTGATTGACAGCAGCACCCACGCTCTAAGGAATTCTGCAACTGCTTTGCAGAATCAACTATTACGCAGTCAACTTTTACTACTTTCGCAAGCTGTCGCGTTACGGGCTGCTCCGACTGTAGCACCAACTAAGCTGTTCGGCAAGTACGTCTTACGGCTGGATTTTCGCCGAGCCAGAATTCATCTGGCGACAGGGCCAAATTGGACAGTCCTGATCCTTTAGCAGATCCGGCCACTCCGTTCTCCTCCGGACGACGCGAGGATTACATCTTGGGTATCGGCATATCATAGAATTGCCTTAAGGTCTCTTGCTAAGCCTCGGGATCCGTCCACAATACGACCCCTTGGTGGCGACGTTGGCGGTGATAACTGAGCCAATGCCAAAATCCTCGGGAAACTGTCCCTGCTACAATGGGTTCTCCGCTATCTGATAGGATCATTTGTTTTTTCACTCCGCAATCCTTTGTCCTAGGTTGGCCCCCAAGGTTAGAAGAGAGGTAGAACAAAAGCTTGAGAGGATATCGAAACGATTTGGCAGGATTTCTGTGCCAGATTGCGATTGAGTTCAGGGCTTCCGCAAAAAACTGTGTCTGTGGCATGGAACAGTAAGTACGGGGTATTCTTGATCAAGCTGTTGTTTCCACACAGTCGTGAGGTTTCAGAAGTCTCGGATGACTGCGTTTCAACACTCACCGAGAGCAGAGTTCCCACCCAAGTTACCCTTAGACGAACCCGCTCAGGTTCGGCTCGATCTTCCGAAAGCAACCTCGTATATAGAGAAACTGCGATTAGGTATCTTCACCCATCCCCCACCCCACTTTCAGCTTAAAAAAATCCGGGATATTATACCAAAGTCCGCTGTTCGTATATACATAGTCACTTTGGTTTAACCTAAACCACGTTGCCTTGGTTGCAGAGCGTTTGAAGTAGTTCTTGACCAATTCCGGGGATTCATCATGAAGCCGAAAGAGCGCCAAGAAGGACGGCAGCAACTGCTGTTGTGCCCTCGTCTTGTCCAATACGAAAAACAAACAAACAAGTGCCTGGAACACATTTGTGGGCTGGCGATAGGAGAAGAGCGAAAAAACCACGGGAATTGACTCACTTGCATATCAGTGCCGCCAAAAACTGCCCGACAACCGGTCAACCAATGGAAAACGGCGACGCGTTAATTCACCGATCAATTTCCCTGTTGCTCAGGGATTCACTAAACTTTATTTCACCGTATGCCTATGTAATCCCGTATCCCTCTGAGGAAGGAAGGAGGGGGAAAGCCACGATATTCTCGCTATGTGATTACCCGAACCTAATTGAAGGGGGTGGTCATAAATGCAAAAGGGAATGATAAAGCCGCGCTAGGCGTTGACCTAACGCGGCAAACCTCCGTATCATAGGATGTCCAAGTCCTTATAAATCTTAAAGATAAGGAGGCCCCCTATGATACGTCGAGGATCCCTGCTGGTCAAGCTGGTTAAACTGGTGGATCATATCCCTGCGCCACCCCCGCAAGAAAAGCTGAACAGAGGCAGACCCAAGTTTTATTCGGATCAGGTCTTCCTCAAAGCGGTCATCATCATGATCGTGAAGCACCTCCACAAGGTGGGTGAATTGCTCTGTGTACTTGAGGAGCCGACCGAGGAGATGCAAACGCTGCGTCAGTTGCTGACTCAGGAGGGCCGTTATCCCTCCCGTCGGACTTGGGAGCGTCGGTTGAAACAGATTCCTTTGACCTTGCCCGCACAGATTGGATGCTTAGCGCAGCATCTTTTAGCCCGCATCAAGCCTTTCCACGCATCGGGACGTGCCGCAGCGATAGACAGCACGGTCTTGCCTGCCAAAGGTGGGGTATGGCACAAGAAAGACCGTGTGCGAGGCGTGATCCCCCACACCACCATTGACACAGAAGCCCATTGGACTAAGAGCGACTATCACGGCTGGATATATGGCTGGAAACTGCATCTGATCACCACGGTTTCTTGGGTCTGGATTCCGCTTGCTGCAAGGTTGACACCGGCCAATCGCGCAGACAATGTGATTGCGCCCGACTTGATCGGTGACCTATCTTCAGAAATCCGCTTCTTGCTAGGCGATACGCTTTACAATGCTGAAAATGTCCGTCAAGCCTTTGAGGATGAGACGCATTTTCTGGTCGCTTCAAAGCGGGGACCCTATCCGCATAATGATGAGGGCAAGGAAGTGCGGCGCATCTTTCATCTGTTGCGTTCTCGGTCAATTGAGAACTTCAATGAGCAGTTTAAGGGGCTCTTTGATGTCCACACTCAGGTGCCGACAAAAGGGATGATCAATACAGCACGATTTGCATTGGGAGCCGTCTTCGTCTATCAATTGATTTTATTGTTTCGTTTCCAAGAAGGCCTTGATTTACGACTGGGATTAAAACCATGCTTGAAGGCTGGATAATGATTTATGACCACCCTCAAACAATAAAGATTGCGATGTATAAAATCGGATCCATTCGTCAAAAAAGTAGGCGGTGGTGGTGGAGAGAATGGAGAGAATTAGCTCAACATCGTTAAAGCAAAAGAAAAAGCGGCGACGTCCCAGTAGCATCCCTACTTGAGCAGTTTATTCAGGTATCCGAGTGTGTCTTTTTGCCAGAGGCGGATGAGGACGAAGATGAGCAAGAGATTGAGGAGGAGAATCAGGCTGAGATAAATCGAGCTGTAAACGCCGAGGAGCGCGGGTAAGGGGGTTGTAATGATGAGGATTGTAAAGATGCCGGTGATCAGAATGCGCGCGATTTTTTCGCCCCAAAAGATGGGCACAGTGCCGCCCGATAACTGGCGGTCGCCCGCACTGTCTTCGAGGTCTTTGAGAAGTTCACGACCCAGGTGAAATAAAAAAGCAAAACCCGCAATAAGCCATGGAGCAGATAGGGTTTTAACGGCGGCGCCTCCATAGAGAAATGCCAGACCGCCGAGCGCACTTACTGTGAGATTGCCAATGAGAGGTACGCGTTTTAGATAGGTATTGTAAAAGATCAGGCTTGTGACGGCGATGAGGGCAATGGCGAAGGCAGGCCCTGGCAAAGAGAAGGCGAGGGAAATACCCGCGAGGAGGAAAACACCCATTTCCAGGCGTGCGATGCTGGGGGATAAACGCCCTGAAGGGAGTGGGCGGTGTGGTTTGTTGATGCGGTCTTCGGTAATACCGCACAGGTCATTGAGCGCGTTGCCCCCTGCAGTGATGAGGGCGGCAGACAGCGCGGCAAAAAGCAGGGGAGGGGGGATACTGTGAATACCCAGCCAACCGCCGAGGAGTACCGAGGCAAACGCGATGAGACAGTTGACCGGGCGAGGCAGTTCAATAATGGCGTAAAATCTGGTCTTGCGGAAGGCCATCAGGGTGGTCCTTTTATGTCTTGTACCTCACACAAAGGCACAAAGACACAAAGACACAAAGAGGGATGAAGGGCAGAGGCCTCTTACGTCTCACGCCTCTTCAAACACATCGTCTGCGTCTCGAATGGTGTAGCGGTAGCCCTGTTCGGTGAGGAAGGTCTGGCGGTTTCGGGCAAATTCTTGTTCGCGGGTATCGCGTGTGACGAGGGTGTAAAAGTGGGCGAGGCTGCCATTGGATTTGGGGCGCAATATGCGCCCGAGGCGTTGGGCTTCTTCCTGGCGCGATCCGTACGTGCCAGAAAGCTGAATGGCGACGCTGGCGTCGGGCAGATCGACGGCAAAATTGGCGACTTTGGACACGACGAGGAGTTTGATTTTGCCTCTTCGAAATTCTTCGTAGAGATGGTCGCGGTCTTCGGTGGGGGTTTTGCCCATAATCAACGGCGCGTCGAGTTCTCGTGCCATATATTCGACCTGGCGGATGTATTGCGCAATGACGAGGATTTGTTCTCCTTCGTGTTTTTTGATCAGATGTTTGACCATGTGGATTTTGCTGGCATTCTCCGATGCAATGCGAAATTTGGCGCGTCTATCCGCTATGGCATAGCCGAGCCGTTTGCCTTCTGGCAATGGCAGGCGAATTTCACAGCATTCCGCGGTTGCAATCCAGCCGCTCGATTCAAGCTCTCGCCAGGGCACGTCATAGCGTTTGGGACCGATGAGTGAAAAGACATCAGTTTCGAGGCCATCTTCGCGCACGAGGGTGGCTGTGAGACCGAGACGACGCCGGGATTGCAATTCGGCAGTAAAGCGAAATACGGGCGCGGGAAGCAGGTGAACTTCGTCGTAAATAATAAGTCCCCAATTGCCCTGATTAAAAATGCCGAAGTGGGGAAAGTCTTCATCTCGGCTCCTGCGATAGGTCAGGATATTGTACGTGGCAATGGTAACGGGCCGAATTTCTTTGCGTTCGCCAGAGTATTCGCCGATCTGATCGTCGGTGAGACTCGTTTTGTCGAGGAGTTCTGCTTTCCACTGGCGCGAAGCCGTGATATTGGTGGTCAGGATCAGGGTTTCGCACTGGAGGGTATTCATCGCGGCCATGCCCACCATGGTTTTACCCGCGCCGCAGGGCAAGACAACCGTGCCGCTTCCGCCATCTGGGCCTCCGCCCGCGTGGAATATATCGACGGCCTCGCGCTGATAATCGCGCAATGCAAAGGGATTTCCCGACAGGGCAGTTTGACGATGTCGAAATTTGAGGGTTCTGCCTTTGAGATATCCTGCGCGGTCTTTGACCGGGAATCCGATGCGGGTGAGGGCCTGTTTGAGATGCCCTCGATAGAGGGGCAAAATGCTGATGCGGTGGGCGTCGAGTCGCTTTTCAATATAGGGCTGGACGATTTTGTGGCGACAGATCTCAAGGATGATTAGCGGGTCCTCAGAGGACAGGATGAGTGCGTCGTCTTCTTTGTCGAGATAGACTTTGCCATAGCGGCCCATTGCCTCGCGGATTTCGACGCCCACATTTTGTGGGATGTCGTATTTGCCGTAGGTTTCAAGGGTGGCGATGATTTCTTCGGTGGTGAAGCCGGCTGCGGCTGCGTTCCAGAGCGAGAGTGGGTTGACGCGGTATGTATGTATGTGCTCGGGGCTTTTTTCCAACTCGGCAAAGCGTACAAGCCGATCTCGCGCCGCTTCGTATCTGGGCGAATTGACTTCGACGAGAACCGTGAGGTCGCTCTGGATGATGAGGGGGTTTTCTGGGTTATAGTTCATATTTTTTATACGCGGGCAACCGTCGCGTAATACGCACCGGCGAGGCGATTGCCATCCGCGTCTATCCACCATGTTTGCAAAGTCGCAGGACCGTTTGTCAAATCCACTGTAAATGTTACGGACAAGTCGTTGGGGCGCACATCTATTTCATGTTCAGAGCCGCCAATCTGCATCCACGCCCGATCTACGGGCAGTGCTTTTCCCGCCATTAATGTGCCGTCAACGCCTTCCATCACAGGGGCGGGTGCTGTAATTGCGAGGCCGGATTCACGGGGCCAGCGGCGCAAGGTGATGTCGTATTTTCCGGATTGTGCCACCGCGAGTTGCCAGATGCCGCTGTCCATCACGCATCCGCGCACCCCTCCGGGATTATCGCAATAAACGCCCATCCAATCACAACTGGACAATCGCGTGGGATTGTCCTCATCTGCTCCAATGGAAATGGGAAAGTAAATATCGAGATTTTTGCCGACGTCATCCCACCACGCATCATAATACGCCCGCATCTTTTGCACGACATCGGGGTGTTGGTCGGCGATATTGTGTTCTTGTGCAGGATCGCTGTCGAGGTGATATAGTTCGGTATAATCCACGAGACGCCAGCGATTCCACAAAACAGCGGCATTGCCTTTGCGCGTGGTTCGGTTCCCCGTTGGGACATTGTGACCGTATTGTACGACGAGCATCCGATTTTCCAATTCTTCTCGTTCTCGCAAAAGGCCAGTTAGAGAAACGCCATCACAGGCGGTGTTTTTGGACTCGTCGAGATCGCAGAGGAAGATCAGGGTTGGCAACAAATCCTGACCGTGCGTGGGATCGGGGATGTCGCGGGGATCTCCCAATTGTCCTTTGGGCCAGCGAATAAAAAACGGAACCCGGTGGCCGCCTTCATACAGCGTGGTCTTTTTTCCGCGCATGCCTGCGTTGTACACCGTTTCTCCGTTTGCGGTGCCATTATCGGTCATAAAAATCAAAATGGTATTGTCGCGCAGTCCGGTTTTGCGAAGAAAGGCGTCGAGTTTGCCCATGTTTTCGTCGATATTGGCAATCATTCCGTAAAAACTGGCGACATTATATGCGCACATGCTCGAGATAGGGCTGGCGATATTCGTCGGGAACCCACAGCGGGGTATGGGGTGCATTGGTGGCGATGTAAGCAAAAAACGGTGAGTCGTCCTGTTCCTCAATTCAGTTCATAGCTTTTTCAAACCACACATCTGTGCAATACCCTTCAAAAGCCTCAGTCACACCATTGTGCCGATAGTGGTCGTCGAAATAATCATTCCCAAAATAATCCGCAGCGGATGTAATCCCCCAGGCGGGATGGTGAATCGTTTCGTGAAATCCCCTATCCTGGGACGGTAGGGATAGTTGTCGCCGAGGTGCCATTTGCCAAAATGACCGGTGCGATATCCATTCATGGCGAAAATATCCGCCATTGTCGGCAATTCGGGATTCATCAACGACCGCCCCATACACACAAATGTCGCGCCATTGCGAAGCGCGTCTTGTCCCGTCAACAACTCGCCGCGCGTTGGCGTACACATGGGCGCGACGTGGAAATCAGTAAACCGAATGCTCTCGTCGTGCAATGTGTCCAAATTCGGCGTTTGAATGATCGGGTTGCCATGACAAGATAAATCGCCATAACCCTGATCATCGGTCAAAACAAAAATCACATTGGGTTTGTTCATTTACGCTCCAGAAATATCATTTGTCTTGAAAAAACGCCCGGTTGATTGTGAAAGATTTGGCGACGAGATCTACCCGTCTCAAGATAGGGGCCTTTTTTTTGTTGGGCGCGTAAAGCCCTATGTCGATAAAAAAGAGTCGGTTGAGATCTACATCGACAAAAGCATAGCTCTTAAAGGGGCCGCCTTTCCACGCGGCTTCATTTTCCCAAAGGCCCTGAAGAACCACGGCGAGTTTGCCAGCAAATTCGACCTGTCCTACTATAACTTCGCCAAGGACGATGCGGTCGCCGCCAAACCACTGTTTTGTGATGTCGTCGCGCTTTTGAATAACCCAGTCTTCGGTGAGCTGATCGGGGTGTACATTATCTTCCCAATAGACGGAAAGCCAGCGATTGGGGTTGTCTCTGGCGAGTACGACAAAATTGGGATAGGTTTCGAGAATGCGATAGCCAAAGGGCACGCGCACATTCCAGCCATATGTCTCGGCGAGTTCCTGGGTGACATTTTTGCGTTCGCCAAAGCTATAAACATTTTCTCGCACACTGTGATCAACAGCATTTTCCAGGGTGCTATACAAGCGATCGGATTCCATATAGAGGTTTTCAACGGTAGTTTCTATATCTTTTCCGGACACGATATAAAGGGTTTGATCTTTGGCCCACACGTCTTTTTTCCAGGTTACTCTTGCGCGATCCTCTAAAATGGCTTGTTGCACTTCGGGGCTGAGGATTTCTTTGACGAATTGCGCAGTGGGGTGATTGGCATTGAGGGGCGCGATAACCATGAGACTTTTGCGCTGGGCGTGTTTGTGCGCGTCGAGGAAATTGACATCGCCCCGTTCGATTTCATAAACGCGCTCGGCCTGGGGCGTATAGATAACGGTTTCAAAAATTTCTCGGAGGGGATCTTCAGCGTTTGCCAATCGGTGGAGTCGGCCAGTACGATGAGTTTGCGGGCGGGACCGAGGGATTCGGGCAAGTGGTCGCCACATCCGATGCACAAGAGCAGGAAAAATAAAAAAGGTCGCATAAGGATACCCAGGAGAAAGGGGTGATTGGGAATAACGAAAAATAAAGATAACAGGATTTGGAGATAGAAACAATGTTCAAGTTTTACGAAACATAGTGCCGGGGAAGACGCGCGCCAAGTAGGGAAACAACTTCGTGTGAAATACAATTTGCCCACTGGGCGATGTCAGGTACGGTGATTTTGTAGTCGCCCTGTTGCCCGAGCAGGACGACTTCCTCACCTGTTGAAACGGGCGGTATATCGGTGACATCGATCATGATGACGTCCATGCAGATCGCACCGACAACCGGGCAGGGTTTTCCGCAGATGAGGACGTGGGATTTATTGGACATGCGACGGTTGTAGCCATCGGCATACCCCAGGGAAACAAGGGCGATGCGAGAGGGGCGCGTGAGCGTGTATGTGCCGCCGTAACTGAGGGTTTGGCCGGTAGAAAAATTTCGCACTTGCACGATCCGCGCTTTGATGGATAGCGCGGGAGAAAGCGAGAGCGCGCCTGCACCTTGTGTGGGAGGAATGCCATAGGTGAGCAATCCCACGCGCACGAGATCAAAGTGCGATTCGGGCATGTGAACGGTCATGGCGCTGTTGGCGGCGTGGCGCCAGGGGACCGAAATGTCTGTGAGTTTGGATAGGCAGGCGGCGAATGTTTTGATCTGATGGGTTGCCTTGTCCATGTCTTCTGCGCATTCCCAGGCCACATGTGTTGCAATGCCTTCAAAAAATAAGTGGGGATTCTCGGCGATTTTTTTTCCAAGAACAGGTGCCTCGTCGGGTAACAGGCCAAGGCGGCCCATGCCGGTATCGACTTTGAGATGTATGCGGGCGCGTGTATTGTGGCGTTTGGCAGCGGCTTCCAGTGCCGGTATGGCGGTGGGATGACCGATGATTTGAGACAGGTTGTGAGCAACGAGGCTGTCGGCCTGTTCCGGCAAGGTGGGTGCGAGTACGACAACGGGTGTTGTGATGCCCGCACTGCGAAGGGCAACGCCTTCTTGTAGCAAGGCAACGCCGAGAGCAGATGCGCCGCCTTTTATGGTTGCTTTTGCAGCGGGTATGAGGCCATGGCCGTAGGCATTGGCTTTGACAATGGCCATGACCTGCGTTGTTGGCGAGACAAAATGACGGACTGCGGAAATATTGTTCGCAATGGCTGACAGACTGACTTCGAGCCAGGCGGGTGGGTCGGGTTGTGGCATTTAGTAGAGTACCTCAAAGCGCGATCCTATATCGGGATATTTGGTGACTTCGATACGTACGGGAAATGCCTGTTTGAGCGATTCGATGTGGGTAATGATCAAAATTTTTTCAAAATCCCCGCTGATGGCCTGGATAGCTTCCACGAGGTGGTCGAGTCCTTCGGTGTCCTGAGTGCCAAAGCCTTCGTCAATGACCAGGGTGCGCAGGCGCGTGCCCGTGCGACGGGCCAGGAGTTTGGACAGGGCAATGCGGATAGAAAAGTCAATGCGAAAAGCTTCTCCGCCCGAATAGAGTTCGTAGCTGCGTTCGCCGAGTTCGTCGCTAATTTTGATGTCGAGGGTTTCGCGCGTACCCCCGCTTTTGAGGTCGCGGAGAGACTCCATGGCGATTTGTGTGCGGTTATCTGTCAGGCGCGCGAGAATGCGATTGGCCTCTTCTTCGATTTCTGGAATGGCCTGTTCGATGATGAGTGCCTGAATGCCGTCTTTGCCAAACGCTGTGGTCAGTTCGCGATAGATGCGGATATGGCGCTCGCAGGATTTGATCTTTTTTTCGATTGCGGTTTGTTCTGAGCCGAGCGCGTCGCAGTGTTCGATTTTGGATTGCAGGGCGGCATTTTGCTGGAGCAGGTCATCGCGTTTGGACCGCATCTGTGCAATATTTTTTTCCAGGGCATTGGTTTCTTCAAGGGTTGATTCGGCGCGGTTGATGGCTGCGGTGAGTTCTGTCAGGCGCTGTTGCGTTTGCTCGTCGCGCTCTGTGAGTTTCGATAGGCGATTTTTTGCGGTGTTGAATTGCGTTTGTGCATTTTCAAGGTCGCGTTCGGCCACTTGAAGGCGTTCGTATTGTGTGGGGGCATCTTGCAAGCTGGTGAGTTGCTGAGAAATGCGCTGGTGGTGTTCGGCATTGTAATTCAGGGTGCGGATGCGCTGGCGCACCTGTTCGCGTTCTGCTTGTTCGTTGGGCGCATATTTGGCTTCGTCCAGCCATTGTTGTGCGAGGGTCGCGTTTTTGTCGAAATGTGGGCAATTCCACGAGGATTTTTTTTTCTTGTTCTGCAGCGAGTTGGAGTTGGGCATTTTGCGCTTCAACAGCATCGAAAGATTTGAGTTTTTCGCGCATGGTGCGGTGTTCGGCCGGGTCATAGGTCAGGTTTTCAAGCGCACTTTGGGCGTGGGATAGGGCGCGCGCATCTGGGCTGTTCTGGGTTTGTTCGCGCAATTGAGTTTTCAGGGCGTTGATTTCAGCCGACAATATTTCGCGGGTTTGCACGGCATTTTCCGCTTCTTTCACTGCAGCTTCGGCTTCGGCGAGGTGTTGGGCGATGCCTTCGCGCTGTGCAAGTTGGTTTCTAATATCTTGATAGCGATGCCTGTGCTGCTCGCGTTCTGCTTCAGCTTTTTGAATATCCGATTCCAATTGCGCGGTTTGAGTCTGTTGTTCTCGTAACTGATTTGAGAGTTTGGCCGCTACTTCTTCGCGGTGGATCTGGTCGAGTTCGCTGCCACACAGGGGACACGAAGCATCTTGAACATTTTGTAAAATTTGCTGCTGTTGGGCGATGTCTTCGCTGGTTTGGTGCAGGGTTTTTGAGGCGGTCCTGAGCATTTTCGATCTGAATTTTGAGGGCATTGCCTTTGTTGCGAATCTCATCGCGTTGGGTTTCGAGGGATTGGATTTCTTCGACTTGGGCGCGGAGAGATTGCCGCGTTTCTCTGCGCGTTTCAATGTTGGCTATTAGTGCGTCGGTCTGTTGCATTTGATGTGTGCGGGTATTGATATCTATTTTTATCGCCTCAACCGCACTGTCTATTTGTCGCTCGATATCTCGAATATTGCGCTCAACGCGCTCTCGGTTTTCGCGCACCTCCTCCCATTCGCGGTCCTGTTGCCTTGCTTTGTGCAATGCCTCGACCTGTGTTTGAATGGTTTGGCGATTGGATAGAAGTGTTTTTGTTTCTCGCAATGCGCGTTTAGCATCCCCAATGCGTATTTGCCATTCGCCCAGGCGGCGTTCCACTTCGTGACGCTGGTCGGCGATTTTTTGATCGAGTTCTCCTGCGTTTTTTTCAAGTGGCCTCAGGGCATGTAATTTTTTTTGCAGGTCTGCGTCTTCTTTTTGAATTGCCCGATATTTTTCGGCTGCGTTTGTGATTTCGGCGCGTCTGTCGAGGGTTGCGCGATAGGCTGCCACGTCTTGTCGCGCTTTTTCACACGCGGTTTGTTGCTCCCGCATGTCCGATGCGATGCGCGATACGTCCTTTTGAAGGGTCTCACGCTCGGCTTCATGGCGTTCGCGTTGGGTGCGTATTTTTCTCAATGCTTCACGGCGATTTTCCGCGCTTTCCAATTCGCTGTTGCAGGCCTGGAGTTGTGCGTTGACGCTATCGCGCTGTGCTACAAATTCATCGCGTTTCTCTATGGTCTGCGCGATGTCATCTCTTTTTGCGCGAGCAGTTGCAAATTCTACGTCTCCCTTACGCGCGTGCTCTCGCGCCAGGGAAGACAGGTCGTCGTAATGCGATAAACCCAGAATGTCTGAGAGGAGGGCTTTTCGCTGGCTCGCTTTGCAGCGCGTAAATTCGTCTGCGCGTCCCTGAAGCAGAAAGGCCGAGTTGATAAAGGTCTCGTATTTCATTCTCAACAGGGTATCGATGTTGGCTTGTGTTTGGCGCACAGCACTTTCTTCTGAAAGGGTTTTGTACGCGTTCGTTTCCGGCGAGTAAATCTGAAATTCGAGGCGAGAGGTTGCGCTTTTGCCGGATTTGCGAAAGCTACGGCTGATGCGATAGCGGTCATTTTCAAGAAAAAATACAAAATCGACCCGCATTTCAGTGGCACCAATCCGCAGCAGACCGTCGTTGGGCCGGCGTTCACTGCCGGATTTGCGAGCTTCACCCCACAGTGCCCAGGTGATGGCATCGAGCAGGGCAGATTTGCCGTGCCCATTGCGGCCAGATATGCAGGCGACGTGAAAGCCCGAAAAATCGAGGGGGGGCACGTTTTCGCCATAGCTGAGGAAGTTTTGTAGGGAAAGGCTTATGGGAATCATTCGCTACCTCTGAGTTCGGCTTCGAGTTGCGCGCCGTAATGCTGAAGATCTTTTTCGATTTCTTTGAGGTTGGGGTGGTTTTGCAAGTATGCGTGGAGCGCGTCTTTGATGCCCATGTCTTCTGAAATGCTGGCCCTGCGCTGGTGTTTTTGGACCCTGGGTTTGGGCGCAATGCTGGCGATCATGAACGCGTCTTCGAGCGCATTTTTGATGGCTTTGAGATCAACGGTATCTGTGTGGTCGGCGGGCAAATCGTAGATGACGCGCACAATGGCATCGGTCAGGGTGTGTTTGCCTATGGCTTCGAGGATAGTTATTGTGGGGTCCTGGTCTTGGGCGATGTCAACCGATACTGTGCAAAAGGGTCGGGCCGGTGTGCGTACAAATTTGTAAGATGTCGTCCGCTCTGTCTCCTGGGTCTCTATCGTGACCAGGACGGCGCCTTTGGTTTCTCGCTCTTCGCCAAAATCAATGCGTTCAATGCTGCCCGAATACACGACAGGGGGTTGGGCATTGGGGTTGAGGTCCTGAAATTTGTGGATGTGGCCCAGGGCGACGTAGTCAAAGGCGGGGTTGGCGAGTGTGCTGGTGAGAAAAACGGGATCGCGTCCAATAATTGCGGTTTGTTCAGAGCCGGACAAGGTGGCGTCAGCAGCAGCGAGATGACCCGCGAGAACGGCGGGGATAGAGGGATCAACCTGTGAGGACAGACGGTCGATCAGGAGAGCACCCAGGTCTTGAAGTTGTTCGACGACTTCTTCTTGCGACAGGTTGTGATAGGTGCCCCGGGTCAACAGGCGGCTGCGGTGCAGCCAGGGCAAGCAGGCAACTTGAATGAGGCCAGATTTTGTGTCAATAGGGATAAGGCGGTCTTCAGAGGCAATGTGGACGCCCCTGGTAGCCAATGTGCCAAAGATGTCAACGGATGAGGCTTTGCCATAAGATACAGGGCTGTCGTGGTTGCCCGTGATCATGACGATGGGGATTTCGCGGGCGCTAAGCATGTGAATGAGGGATGCAAATTCGCGCTGGTGCGTGGGCGTGGGGTCACATGAGCGATAGGCGTCACCGGCGAAGATGACGAGATCGACATCTTCTTTCAGTGCTTCTTCAAACGCAAACCGAAGGCTTTTGATAAAGTCTTGCAAGCGCGTGTGAAGGCCCGTGCCCGAATCGAGACGGCCGTAGTTTTCAACGCCAATATGGGTGTCGGCAACGTGTAGAAATTTGATGGACATGGTAAATAGGTTATTATGGGGAGGGAGAGGATAGGGAAATTTAAGGAAGAAATAGAAAGGTGCAAAGTGCAAAGTTCAACCAAAGCACAGGCTTACGGTTTTATCTCTGGCGTGAGTTTTACTTTAATCTGCAGAGTTGTGACATCTGTAAAGTGAATCGCCAGTTTTCTACGTCCCCTGTTATCGGCTTGTTTGGGATTGGGGGAGGTGGGCAAGGGAGTTGCGTCGAGAACGGTAAATATCGCGTCGGGTGGCGATAAAATTTCCGCTTTGAGATGTTTGCCCCTGCGCGTTAAAAGGGCGGTTTGACCGTCGATTTTGATACCGGCTCTCGTGTGCATAAACCACCAGAGTTCAGACGGTGATTTTGTTTTAATGTCGTCGGTAATCACGACATGATTTTGGTCTATCATCTCAAAAGTGCGCTGTGCGCGTGTTGCATCATCGATATAAACGTCGGTGAGGTCGAGAACCGCAGTTGTGTGATTGGACTCGGATTTGAAGGTGATAATGGGGCATTCGGCTTTGGGATTTTGATCGGGAGCTTTGTCCGGGTTGAACACGAGGGTGTTGTGCCCTTCGGCGCGGATGCGATAAAATTCCCACC